TTAACTCCAGACTTGCAGTAAATCCACTTTTATCAGGATTGCTGTCCCAAAATTAGCACGCAAGAAATATGTAAACATTGATGACGTTAGGCCTAACTCCTTCTAAACGTAAATTAAATGGTTGCGCACTAGGAAAGTTCAATGACAGCCCAAGTATAAAACCCAAACTACGAAATGAGTGGCTTCCAGCAGTAGCTGTGCATAAATTCAGCTAACCAAAATGGGAGCCCATTTGCCACACACGTTGACAACTACACAAACCCAAACAAAACAAGGTCTGCACTCGAGAAGCATAGAAACCACATCAAGCCAACCTAAATAGTATGTATGTTGGCACACTTTTGCACAATCAGAGCCAGAAAGTTCTGGCGGGAGCCATTTTAACTGAGAGGAATCTCAGTTCACTGTGAGTCCGATCATTTGAAGATACAGTACACTATGTAATGAAACTGTTTACTGCATTCAGTCTGGGTTAGATAATGCATTAGCCTCTCTCAGAGATGTGCTGTAATCTCTTTGTGTAAATCATTTTTTACACTCAGCATCATAAAATGGAGAGTAGTATTTAATGAATCTAAGATGAGCTCTGCAATTTCCGTAATACCTTTCAAACTGTTGTAAACATCCTCACTTGTTAGGGCAGTTGCCAAATTGTCATGTTTTGACAGCATCTTTTACATTTACATCAGTGAAAACCCCAGAAACAGATGCCAAACTGTGGTAAGTGAGGATAATTTCTTCTTTATGTTTCCTGATTGCTGAAGTAAGCTATCCCAATGTAAAAACAGCCTCACCTCACCATTACAAATGTCTGTTGGAATACATGATCCCTAGTTAGGCCTACTGAATGAACGCTGTCAAAACTGCATTAACCAGTAGTTCAGTAAATAAAGTGTTACACGTTTCACTTGTTTGTTGCTTCTGGAACTTTATGTAAGTGTTATACTAACCTGTAGAACAGAAGCTCCATCTCTAGCTGCTCAATGTGCCTCTGCAGAACAGACACATGACTGGCTTTGGTTTCCAGCTCCTTCACTTTCTTGAGGCCACTGAGCACAGCTTGTCTGGCTTCCTCCACTCTCTTTCTCATCTCAACCTGCTCCTTCGTTAGAGTCCTGTTACATTCCTCCAGCAACAGCACGGTCTCACGTGATACTCGCAGCTCCTGCTCCAGCTTCTGGTTGAAGAGCATGGCCTCCTCGATCTGCCCATCCCAGGAACTCCGGATGTACTCCACTTCTCTCAGGAAGCTCTGGATGTCCTTCAGGTTTCCAGAAATGTTGGGTTTCTGAGCTGCTCGCCTTTGGTGGGCGATGAAACAGCCACCCTCTGGTTTATGTTTCGAGTGGCTTTTCCACAGGCCCACCTATGATACACAGAAACATGTCAGTAGAATGTTACAGCCCTTATGAAAATTAACCATGGTTTTATTATGGTAAAAGTGTAGTGTTTAAGATGTGGGTGACAAAAGACTGGGTTCAGATGTTCAGAGCTGGGTGGATTACTTACAAATTGCAATCCGTTACTGAATCCAAATTACATGACACAAATTGTAGTTAGTAATGTAATCCATTACATTACACATTTTAGGTAATATAATCAGACTACTTTTAGATTACTTTTGACCTAACTCATTTATCACATTGATTTAAATAGGATAATATTGTATTATATTGGCATAAAAATACAAAGAGTAAGAAAATACATTCCATTTGTTGTTATTAAGAACATGAAGTGCAATAAACATTAAATTACGTCAAGGTTTCCCAAACTGGGGTTTGTGAAGGAACTGTAAGGGGTTTATGAGTTTAATAAAAAGCTAATAATTAATTAAATAATAAAAAGGTTAAAATAAAATAATTTTAAAATGAATCAAAATGTTGAAAAAAATAAAAAACTTACTAAGAGAATGAAATATTGTTATATTTGTTTACCTGCATGTCATGTGACTATCACTGTTGATGTTTTTGCCACCTAACTAATGCTTGATCTCTATGTGAATGTCTACAAAACTGGAAGACTTTCTGAGTGTATATAAGCAGTAGGCTATTTTAGAAAAGAAAAATTAAAAGATGGAAAAAGAAGAATTAGGGAGAATCAATTATGTAAAATTATTAATAATTTATTTCTATTGTGTAAATAATATGTAATCATGAAATCCATAAAAGAGTAGCCTAAATGTAGTCTAATTACGACTATTTTAAAATGCAATTTCTAATTGTAATTTCAAAATCTAATTACAAGTAGCCTACTTAATTTTTGGAATCTGATTACGTAATCCAGATTACATGTAATGAGTTACCCAGCTCTGCAGATTCTGACCTACAACTACCTATAATTCGATCTAATAATCAAGTACACTTAATTTAGAGAATATTGCTGCTCGATTTCTGTAAGTTATTATTAGAATAAATCTATTGTATAAAGTTGATCACAATGACTGTACCTGTAAGGCCAGCGAGCGAGCATCACTGCTTTGAAGAGCCGCACGCATGTCCTCCACCAACTCCCTGAGACTCGCATTTTCCTCCTCAAGCTTGGCTATCCTGTCCTCAGCCTCCTCGAGGGCCACAATTTCCTCGTAGCACTCCCTGGTGCAGGAGCCCAGCTGCCTACAACCTGACGCGTGTCTGTCCACAGTGGGAGAAGAAGGCTCTCCGCGTTCTCGCTTAGCGCTGGTACCCAAAGACAGCAGCTTCTTGCGGCGCCTCAAGGGGCTCCTGAGTCTGATCTGCGTCTCTATATGCTCGCTCTCCTTGCCAACCAACAACCTCCCATTCTCATACTGGCATCCAGCTTTGGTACTGAAATAACAGCAGAGTTTTGAGTGAAACTGCCTGAAGCTGAACTCTTTGGGTAAATTATCCAATATCCCCGCACACTCCTCCAGATCACTCTCTTTACTGAGTCCTAAAATATCGCAAAGAATGTTAAAATCCTCGGCTGGGATTTTTCCATCTCCCTGACAGTCTAGGTGATGAAATATCTCTTGGAGGTATTGATCCAGCCCGGTTGCGAGGACTATAATTTCGTTTTCCACTCCACGGTCTAGTCCGTAATGATACGCCAGAGTGCTCACTATCCATTGTGTCCTGCGCGCGGGTCGGCTGTATGGATCGCATGCGTCCGACTTTTCCATACTTTTTCCCTCACAAGAATCCCATTTATAGCGCCTAAATGGATTAATGGATTCAACAGATCCTCTAAGCATACAAACAGCATACCAAGTTCAAGTCATCTGAACACCAGACCGCCCCACTCTTGTAGTAGAAACTCTCGCGCTGTGCGCATGAGGGCGTTGCTGTGAAGGGAGCACTGCCCACAAAATCTTAACTGTAGAGGGGGAAAAAAACTTTTGAAAAGAAGCTAACAATTCGATAGTCATTGTGGCGGTATACAGTATATTTCATACATATACAGATCATTAACTGATATCATGTATAACATATTAAAAAAACACACTAAAATCTACTTTGCAACTTAAAACATAGGCTACTTCCCCGGTTTCACAGACAAGGTTTCGACCTAGTAGTCCCTGACTAAAGCTGTTTCAACTGAAAGAAACTTACACTGACTGGTCTTAAAATATATCAGTGCCTTTTTTTTTATTTATCTCAAGATGCACAGAAATGTTTTTTTCTAAGGCACATTTATAAAAATTACTTAAATTTCCCAATTGAACTATGACCTATTCAAGCCCTGTCTGTGAAACCAGGCCAATATAGGCTACAATAATAATAATAATAATAATAATAATGCAGGTAAAAAGATGATAAATCAAGGCTAATCAGAACTGTAATTTTCGTGAAGAATGGCAAATCTGTAAGATATGCAAAATGTAACCCGTGCATAGACAAAAAACAATTAAGCTACATATATAAATGCAATAAACCTGAACTAAAGAAAACAAATATACTAAGGTACATAATCGATTCAGAGTGTTTTTTTTTTTTACTGTACAATGCTGTAGGCTACATATGAGTTATGTGGTACATTAAGTCATTATATTTATTTCCAAAAAATCACAGTAGGCTATTTTGAATATTACTGTTAAATCAAATGTTAATACATCTCATTATTTATTTTTTATCCGTATATTCCAAGGTAACATATGATGTAATTAACCAGAATATTTGCATTTTGACTATATTATGTTTGTTATTTTTAACCTTCGAAGATGCCTTTTTAGTACAAAGTTTTACTTTCCCTAAAGTTTTGTTGGCAGCATGGGAATTGTTTTATACGTTGCAGAAATAATATTTTCCTTTCAACCGTGTAGTAAGTAAAAAGCTCTGAAGTGCCGGTGGAGTCGAATGTCGATGGTTCACTGTGTAACTACTGTTGACTGTAGTTACAGTTCCATGTGCCGCTTGTCATTTCCTATTTACCAGCGCGCGCGCTTCATTATGTTCGCGCGACTCTGGTTGTCAAGGCGACGCAAAGCATTCCATATAACAAAAGCCAACGTTACAAAGTTCTCCAATGCTCATGCGATCAATTAAAACATAAAAGTAGCGCTGAGGAGAAAGGCTGGAAAACCGCTTTCAGTTATGGTAAGTTTTCTAATGAACTTTATAAAATAATAATGCTTATTCAACATAACGTTTAAATAAATAAATGTAAAAGAAATCATTGTTTTTGGATGTTGGTCTTTTTGTATTGTGCTATCTGAAACGATCACATATACAGTATCATCATAGTACTTAAAAGCCAACGTTACAAAGTTCTCCAATGCTCATGCGATCAATTAAAACATAAAAGTAGCGCTGAGGAGAAAGGCTGGAAAACCGCTTTCAGTTATGGTAAGTTTTCTAATGAACTTTATAAAATAATAATGCTTATTCAACATAACGTTTAAATAAATAAATGTAAAAAAAATCATTGTTTTTGGATGTTGGTCTTTTTGTATTGTGCTATCTGAAACTATCACATATACAGTATCATCATAGTACTTTTTTGTGATAGTCCTATATCTCCTTATCCAGCATTTCTAGTTGACAATGGAATGCGCTGACTTAGCATCACCTGACATAGAGAGAATTGATGAAGACGAGAAGATTCTCAAAGAATTGTCTTCAAACTCCACACAACTCACAGACCGTGAATCTGATGCTGACAAAAGTAAAGATCCATATATGGAGATGCCAGAATCAAGTCCTGAGGATGAACAAACCATAACAACATTTACAACAGACTCCAGCTACATTGTCACCTGTAGAGTCAGCATTGCATTAGCTATCTTGAAAGGTATGGCGGTGGTATTGTTTCAATACACAGCGTTTCATATCTATATATGCAATCTGATGTTGCATTTTAAATATTTTTTCTTGACACCAGCAAAAGAAATAAACTCGCATTGTTTTGCCAAAACTGTCTTATACACATTTTTAGCATTATTCTTTATTTTCTTAAATCAAGCAGAGCTTGAGGAGCATCTCACCAATTCTGAGAAAAGAAAAAGAGAGACAAAGAAAGACACATCCAGTGAGGTAGTGGAGGCCCCCAGAGCCAAGGGCTATTATTGCATTGAGTACAACATGCTGCCTGATGACCCTGAACCAACCAGAGTGGATCTAGTGATGTTCGGCTTGGCGGCTAAACTCTACATGGCGAATGAGACTAAGGTAAACTATTGGAATTAATTAGGGGTTAATTCTAAGCAAGAGATTGTAAATGATCAATAATTTATATGTAGAATAATACTACTACTTTGACCTGATAAACAAACAGTTCTTGGTGTTGTTAGTATATGTTAATAAATTATGCACAAGGATTTGCTCCACTGACCCAAAGAAAGCTGGTTTAGAGTTTCAGTTAATGGCTTCTTTGGACTTCTATTGTGCACCTTGCTGTTTAGGGGCGAACACCTTTTGTCTACCACTTGCATGTGTATTTTTTTTTCTCAGTGACAGTAAATGAATTGTATATACACTAGGCTCACCAAAGCTGCATTTTTAAAATCAAAATATTTGATCAAAATACAGTAAAATTAGTAATGTTATATTAAATATTATTACTGTTTAAACTACATGCTTTTAATTTTAATTTATTTAAAAATGTAATTTATTCCTGTGATGGCAAAGCAGAATTTTCAGCATTATTACTCAGAATCACATGATCCTTCAGAAATTATTCTAATATGCTGATTTGCTGCTCAAGAAACACTTCTTATTATCATCAATGTTGAAAATAGTTGTGCTGCTTAATATTTTTGTGGAAACGGATTTTTTTTCCCAGGATTCTTTGATGAATAGAAAGGTCAAAAGAACAACATTTATTTGAATACAAATTGCTTGCAACAATACAAATGTCTTTACTGTCACTTTATGGGTTACTGTCAATTGAATGTGTTCTTGCTGAATAAAAACATACCTTACCCCAAACTTTTAACAATAGTGTAATTCTATTGTTGTCTTTGTGAAACAAAATAAATCTCCATATAATAATGAAATCATGTGCTATGTGTTCTGACAAGGTGCTGAAGCCTTGGCGAGAGGGAAACAAGGTGTGGGTGAGTTGGTCTCAGACTTTAAAACTCAATGTCACCAAAGAGCTCCTGATTAAATTGGCCTCCCATAAGATCACTGTGAGAGTATGGGACAGCAAAGACAAGGTGTCTTTCAAAGCCAGGAATGACAGACCCAAAGCCTTCAGACTGCCACAGGAGAGGACTGGAGAGGATCCAGAGCAAATGGGTATGATCTACCCGTTTTATTGATTGTGCTTCCTATTAGGATTTCCTTCATTGTAATGTTGGTATCTTACAGCAAGATCAAGATTTTAGACACCACAGAGTTTAATGTTTAAAGTGAAATGTGTCTAGGATAGATGAAAAACGAAATAATTTTTAACTTACTCAATTACTTAAGGAGAGGACTACTGATTTAAAGACAGTAATTTATATCACAGTAGGCAGGAAAATGAGTGTGAATCTCAGTTCACTACGACAGGTAATTGTGAGATGGTGAGATCTGGCACTTACATCCTCACTTCTTTTACAGTGCTGTGAGAATGGAGAATATTAAACGCAAGTAGCACAAAGTACAATGCAAACATGCAGCATTTAGTCATCATTTTAGTCATCATTTATTTGAATAAAAAATTCCTCAGTGATTTAAAATCACCAAAGTTCTCACTAAATGTCTTCAAAGGTGGCATCAGGAAGATGATTTGTGAGATGAGAGCTGTCTATGAGAAGGAGAACATAAAAATAAGAACATCTACGAAAAACCACAAAGATCTACTATCATCAGACTATAGGAAGCATTTGGAGCTTCGCTGTGCCACAGGTACAACATGATGCTGATGTTTATACTGTATGCTAATAAAAGATTTATGATGGTGATTATTATGTTTTACAACAACATGAATAGGTTTGATTGTGTATGTGGTCATACTAATAATACCAAAGTATCCTTATAATGAAAAAACAACAACATAATGTTTAAAACCAACAGCTGAATCCAAGTCCTCTACAGCTGAAACACTTTAACCATTTGATAGTACAGTTCAATTAAACATTTTTGGTGTTGATAAATGTTTTAAATAAGTAATTTATGCTCACCAAGCCTGCATTTATTTGATCAAAAACAGTTAAACAGTAATAGTATGAAATATAATTACAATTTAAATGAACTTTTATATTTTAATTTAATTTAAATTTATTAATGTGATGGAAAATCTGAATTTTCAGCCACCATTTGTCATTTCTTATGATCAATATTGAAAACAGTTCTGCTGCTTTCAGGATTCTTTGATAAATCAAAGAACAGAATTTATTTGAAATATTCATATTTTGTAACTTTTCAAATTTCCTTTAATGTCACTTAAATCAATTTTATGCATCCTTGCTGAAAAAAGCATTAATTTCGTTAAAAAAAACTTACTGACCCTAAACTTTTCAATGGTAGTGTAAATCTGCTATTTAAGGGTTGATGAATTAATACTAACTTGATACATCTATATACACTTGATGAAATAGTCTCATCACAATTTTATCATTATGACTCTTGAAGTAGCAAGTCAGTGGGCACCTTATTTGTTTATTTCAATTTAGCTCCTAGTAAGAGTGGTTTAACAATAGAAAAGAGCCAAACATCATCCACTAAGAAGACACTGTTCCAGAAACCCACCCAGGATACTGCAGAACTCACAGAGCTCAAACAGGAAGAGGAGGCCGCCTCACTGGAACTCAGTTTCGCTCCTCTCCTTGCAGGTAATTTCTTCCTAGCAACCTTATGGCAGCTTTTGGAGCTTAAAAAGTATTTTCTGAATTTTTATGCTCCTAAAACACCTATTAGCAGCTGACTGCTGTTGTATTCACTCACTCTTATGGCTCTTATACACAGGCTTCCTGTAAGTGAATGTTGTGTTTATATAATACATCATGAACATGACTTTAGCGAGGCAGCTTGCCATTTAGGGGCTGTTTCCCTTATTCCTGAGCACTGTGGGGTGGATTTGAGTAAGGGGCTTCCCTGCAGGGTCCCTGCTACTTAGCTTCTAATTGGCTGTGGAATGGCACCAACCAAAGCCAACCGACTGCTTCTTTAGCTTTTGATGTTTCTCATCTAGACCCCCAGCGGGAGCTCCCGATGAAAGCCTTCGCTTGGGAAATATTTTAGCCTCGTTCCCATAAAGCCGAGCCAGACAAATCACATGTAGCTTCTTTCATTGCAGGGTCGGATGGAGGATGGGGGCTATTACCCAATCTTGTTATTATTTTGCCAAATTATGATCTATTAAGGACAGAAATCTCATATATATGCTCTTTATTATGATGATGGCTATGTGGAATGATATGGGAGTGATGGACACTCCCATAGTTAGATTATGACATATATACTACCGTTCGAAGGGTTTTGCTTACTTTCATTCGGATGAGATGCATTAAATTGATAAAAATACAGTAAATACATTTATAATCGTACAAAAGGTTTCTATTTCAAATAAATATTGCTCTTTTTTTTATAATGTGACGCTGAAGACTGGTGGAAAATGTAGCTTTGCCATCACAGGAATAAATTACATTTGAAAATACATGGAAATAAAAAAGAAATCTTTTAAATTGCAATGAATGAATGAATACCTTTATTATCATTGCCCAACTGTACAACGAAATTCTAGTCTTATTCTGATAAGTGCATGCACACACGCACATACAAAATATAAAAAAATAGATTATAAAATTTTTTACAACCGATTGTACAGATTACAAATGTAGACAGTGTGAAATATTACATATGTGCAGAGAAGGGCAAGTGCAAATATAAACGAGTGTGTACCATTTATGACAGAAATATATTAAAAATAAGATAAAGAGAAAGAATTAAAAGAATATATCTATCAAATACATACTGATAAAAAAGTTCCCAATATTACGGTTTTGCTGTATCTTTGATCAAATAAATGCAGCCTTGGTGAGCATATGAGACTTTGGTAAGAAACATCTTACCAGTCCCAAACTTTTGAAAGGTAGTGTATGATATATATTTTTCAAACATCAGCTACATGGCTGGCATGTTCTGTCTTTATGTTAGGGAGTATGATGCTCTCTGACTGCCTGGGATTCTGTTCCGGAGGAGTACAAGAGGGATTCTGGAACATCACTCTTGATCAGCCACTTCTATCAAAGCAGCTAAAAGCTGAACTCAATCCACTAGTCATCACAGTTTTATCAGCTTCTTCTCTGCCATCATCTCCCGTTCCTTTCCATGTACTTAAGGTATTCTATTTCAGATTTCAAATTATTAATTTGATTATTCAACAAGAACATAATAAACACATGATCACATTAATCTTTCAATAGGCAAAATGTCATTCTGTCTACTGTCAGTACAAGTTCCGCAACATGCCTGTTTATAGAACCAAAGGCCATGATCACAATGCTAATATCTACTTCAAGGAGGTGAATGTGATTTTTACTGGTCTGCTGAGCCGTGGAAAGCTGTGTGAGTTTCTTAATGGTCCACCCATGAAGATCGAAGTCCATGATCGGGATAGAAAAAAGGAAAAACCCTCCAGTACACCAGCTATATTTGGGACTGACCCCAAAGATGCCAAAGATGATTTATGGGTCACGTGTAATGCATTAAAAGCAGATACTGAACTTCATGATCCATATGGCATAGCAAAACTAGATCTCTCAGATCTTCTTCGAGGATGCAGATATTTAAAGCTTAAATTGCCCATAAGGAGTTCTTCTGAGGTTCCCTCAGATATTGCAATGCCAGTGGGTCATTATCTTGAAGCTGATGCCCAACTGAAAGTGCAGGTGGAGATAGCACATACCCTTCACCATGAAGACGGCAACAGTGATAGAGATTGCCCTTTTGGTCGCGTCATTTATGTCTTCAAGTATAACAATACACCTGTCTTAGCCAAACTGACATCAGAAATTCTGCAGATCAATGCAGATGCCTTCCAATTAAAGCATTATCCAGAGGAAACAATTCAAAGGCTCCTGTCTGGTCATAACATAAGAACCAAAGACAGAGAGAACAAAAGGCTGAATGTTCTCACTGGATTTCATATGATGGATAAGGCTCTACACATTTTTGTTCTGGAAGGATTCAAGGATCAAGCAGTCAAAAGACTGTGGACTACAGTGTCTATAAAGTAAGAAAGTCATAATTTAAAACACTCCCACATGTGCACAACATTTACCAATATGCAGCAAAGCAAAAATTTCTGAAGATCATACAGACTGATCTGATCCTTTCCAGGTTGGATGGTGATGAGGAGGAACAGGTGACTGCGCTGTATAACTCAGACTTGAGTTTCTCAGAGCGACTGTATGACATGCTTGACGTGGGTCTGAGTCCCGTTTGCCTTGTAAAGCCACTTGAGACCATTTTGATGGAGCCTCTGGTGTTTATCAGAAATACAGTTCCTCATGCCTGTCTTGAAGCCTTGAAACGGTAAAATTGCAATTACACTCAAAGAGCAGCTCCTTTTTGCCTTATAATTTCTAGCATGGTCCTTTTTTTCTTGGTTTTCTCAAGACAGTACATTGATTGGATTAGGATAGTATTAATGTTTGACTACAATTTCAAAATGTTAACAAGTACCAGGTGTAATTGGATGGATTAACTATTCTGCGTGGTATTTGCTAAACCTAGAGGAACTAACGTTGTGAAACACTGAGATATTGTTCAAGAAAGTTTAAATGTTTCCTATTAACCTTTTAGTATAAGCCACATCTGCAAAGCCAAGAAGTTTCAAGAAGTAGTGCACCATGACCTGTTCCCATCAGCCGACATGATTCTAAGCTTAAGCAAGGAGTTTGGATCAGATCTCGGGAGAGGAGAGCTATGGTTGGCAACAGAGACCCAGCAATCTCAGGATATACCTGATCGTCATAACATCAGAAAGAGAACTCACACACCTCTAGACAACTTCAACAGAGAATACTTCCAATGGAAATGGAATGAGGGTAATAATGTGAAGGACTTTATCCAGGTAATGAATGACGCATATGTTTAACAAAGTGGGGAACTTGAGTTAATGAATGCATTTTTTTAAATTTCAGGCAAATATTGAAGACATCTACAGGGCGAGTAGTGATTTACAAAAGTCAAAGCCTAATGTGTTTATTATTGATGGTCAGACCATCAATTACCACAATGTTCAAACAATGAATTCCCCTACTCTACTCTACAGAGAATTTCGGAAGGTTGGCATCATTTTATTTACTTTCTAAGCTTGAAAACTATGAAAAAAGATGACTGTGATGTGCTTAGGCAGGCTCCTGGGTCAAACTTAAAGTAAAACGTGACTATTTATTGTCTTTGTAGGACTCCACTTCCATTCGCTTCTCTTACCCAGGTTTTAAGAGCAGTATTGAATCTAACCAGCACCCGAAGCGGCCAGACGTTGCTCGGATTGAGGAGCTGAGAAAGGTGCTGTTGAGGTCATGCTATACCGCCGTTACCCCCATCTGTGTCATGTTTCTCTCTCAGTGCAATGTCAACTTTATGGACATTCCTAAGAGCTTAAGCAAGAAGATAGAGTTTTACCGATGTTTACCTACCTTGCCCACTTCTTTACAGATCCCCAGAGCTTAAGACAGTATTTAGTTGCAGGTACGGTGACAGGGCTAATGCTGATTGACTCATGGGACACAACGTTATCTAGAAGCATGTGCTTGCTTGAAATTGATTTATCAGCCTTTCAGACTCTGTAACTTACCGTTCCCTGCTGAACATGAGCATAGCACCCAAAAATGTGAACCTTACAGATGACAGATTGATGTTATCATTAGCAGTTTGTCCTATTTGAGCAACTGAACATGTATATTTATGTTTTTCCAAAAGCATTAATTTATTGTAACCAGCTCTTTTAAACATGGGTTTAATTATTTTTTTTTTCACAGCCTTGGAGAGAAAACATTCTACATGGGAACAAACTGAAGCCAACACTCTCTAGCTTCAGGCTGCCATGGATCCACAGACATCAGGATTTTGAACTTTACTCCAAGCCCCCATTAGAGTTTGGACCAGAACTCCCCCTGAGCATCCATTTGGCTGGTAACATTTTCTTAAAGGGGTCATGAACTGCCTTTGTTTTTTTGTATTTTTTACTGTTCTCTGAGGTCCACTTATAATGTTATCAAGATTTTTACATCAAACAACATCATAATTTAGAAAAAATAGTAGGGATGCACGGTTACCACTTTTTCTAGTACTCGCCCGATACCGATACTTTTAATTTTGGTACTTGCTGATACCGAGTACCGATACCAATATTTTTATTGCATTTGTACATTTTTTAAATATTGGGTACAGAATAGGGGTCGACCGATTATTGGCCTGGCCGATTATCGGCACCGATATTAAGCATTTTTATGATTATCGGTATCGGTAATTTTCAAAACCGATTTGCCGATAAAATAACTTCATTTTGAAACGCGCTATTTGGCTCTGATGCAGCCTGTCAGAACTCACCACTCTGTGGCCTAAAGCAGTCTCCGCCCACCGCTCATCTGATTTGTTGGGAGTCATGAGTCCGACCAATCAATGCGCTGCTTCAGTGATCACGCATCAGTTGTCTCTCAAAGGTAAGGCAGCAGCAGACGTTGCTTAAGTTGCAATAGATCCCAATCCACTAACGTCACACTGAAGTTGCAAAACACCTCAATATTATCTATGATTTCCGCGATGCGAAAACAAACGCGGACGGAATCACGGAATCCAGTCATATAAATGGAATTTACTGTATGACGCGGAATGTCACGGAAT